TTATGATATTACATATTTGTACACAACAAAGCATTTTCTATAATTGCTTAATAGTAAGTTATAACTGGATAAATTTAACTTTCTATAATTTTAGTATTTAAGTACATCTTTAATATGTGAAACTATGTAAAATAATTTTGTTCATTTATTTATTTACTTTTATTGTAGAATGAACATACGGTGACAATTATAATGGATACAGGCACTGCTGTAACTGCACAACAAAATACTTCTTCAGGTAAGAAAATTGAATTTATAATCATTTTAAAATGCATTAAAACACATTTACTTGTTTGTTTCTCTTGCTAGATTTTAAAGATTCCAAAATTTCAATGTAAAAATATTATATAAGAATTTGAAAAATTTAATAACTTTATAGTAATTATCTTATGCATGTGAAGCCATTTCAAAAATGAGTCTTTGTTAAATGTGTAATATTCAAACAGGACAAAGCAGAAATATTAATGAAAATTCAAATATAAATAAAATCTGAGAATCAATCTAGTATATTAAATACACTAGATTGATACTTACATTACATTAGATTTTGTTAATAATGTATCTGTGTGAATATTTAAACTCAGACGAAAAATTTGTAACAGAACACACAATAAATTGGTTGAAAATGAAAAATAATTTCCAATTTTGAACATTGGTCAAAAGCAGCAAAATGCCATTTGAAAAAACACTGGAATTGGTTTTAACGTATAGTTAATCATGAGTGGTAACAGTTTAAATAAAATTAAATAGATTTATATTATAACTTAATTATTCAAGTGATAATATGAATCTGTAATAATGGCTATAATTAATACTGCTACTCATTCATAAGTCTGAGGTTAAAGTAGTAAAATTATATTGAATGCAAATGTTAAAATAGAAAAGAAATGCTCATGTAATATAATAGAAGAGAAATATGAAATCATATTAAAACTATAAGAGAATATAATAGAATAGAAATATAATAGAATAGAAATATGAAAATATAATAGAAGAGAAATATGAAATCATATTAAAACTATAAGGAGTTGCTTTATTCAAAGATAAAACCATTTGAACTGAGAATGTTTGAGAACACAGTTTTCTATTTTGCCAATCAATATAAATCTTAAACTATCTAATCAATTGACAATCATCTTATTCCAATCGATGAGTATAGTTTCATAAAGTACTTCTCTTACTGATAAATTGTGCTTAAGAATATCTGTACATATAACGAGCAATTATTTATTGTGATATGGTCACAATACCAGGCTGCAATTTTTAATAATATTTTTAATTTATTTAATTTAAAATATAGCTTTTAGTTTTAGTAGTGTCTTGCCCCTGTATATCACACTTTTTCTGTTAACAATAGAGTCATGCAGTCATCTATCTAACTCTGGAGAAAATTTATGAATTGAAGTAATGTGACTTTCAGTACAAACTGGAAGTTTGTATATAGTCAGTCGGAGCTTTCCATATCTGATCTCAACTTTCATCTGTCTAATTCTGTTCTCAAGATTAAGGAAGGACAGAAAGATGGCTACTAGTAGAAATTAATAGGTCTGCAGTTTGAAAATTGTAGCCTAATTTCTACTTATTTTATATAAGAACAAAATTAAAAAATTTTTTAGTAATTACATTTTTATTTCAGCAACTTTGCTTGTAGTTTACAAACTGAATTATTAGTCTATTATATTCTCAATATATCAATCCATTTCTAAAAGAAATTTTGGTTTGTGTGTATTCAAATGATTGAAAATGTTATAAATTAATTTGAGATGATACAAATGGAATTGCCAGTGTGAAATGAAATAACTTGCAGATATGTGTACAGCGTGTTGCACAATGTCCACCACAAATTGATATTTTCTCTTTAAAAAATTTGCAAATGGTCATCTGAAAAATTTACATTGTTTCACATTCAGGAATGTAACAATAATACATCAAAATAATTTGTAGAAATTTTAAAAAATTAATTATTTTATTGATTTTTAGGTGTTGCAAACAGATAGATTTAAATGATATATTTTCCATTGTAGAGCACATGTATGTCTCATTTATGCAAATTTGCAATTTTTTGGTACTTGTATCTTTGATGTCACTGAAGATTAATTTGCAATTTCATTTGTTACTTGTGGCAAGTTATAATTTTGTGAACATAAAAGGTCAAATAGACAAATTGTGAAAATTTTGAAACAATCGTGTAACGTTGTAAACAATTTTATATGATTAAAAGATTTTTATGGTGTTAATAATATATATATATATATATACTAGCTGTAAGGACCCACTTTGCTGGGTTTTTATTTTTATGTAATATAGTTTTTTTATATATATATAAAAGACTGTTTTTCTAAGTAATCTAGGATCTAGCTGCAAGGACCCNTAGCAGTTTAGGTACTAATAAAATTATATATGCTAATGAAATGCAAACCAGTAATATATAGTTTATTCTGATCATTTTACTGGTCAAGGTAGTTTGAATATACACAAGAAATTGTACTATCTTTTAGCATTAAATTTATTTGTTTGATGAATTAAATACTGTACAAGTACTTTCAACATTTCAAAATGACTTCCTCAGGCAAAAAAAGAATATATAAAATACATTTCAGAAAACATTTTCACTCTCTTTATATTAACTAGACAATAGAACAGTGATTCTCTACCTTTATTTTGTTGTGGAACACTTTTAATAATTTAAAATTTTGGCGGCACACATGGTTACTTCAGTAAGTACTGCAGGACAACAGGTGACGTCATAACAGTGATTTTTAAACGCAGTTGATTATTTAGGTCACATTTTCTAAATTCCTTGGTAACTAATGGCAGTTACCGGTAACACCAGTTACGATTTCCAGGAAGATAGAACTGATTAAACTACTTATCTGACGTTTCTTATGTGTGGATGTTCGCAGTGGCGGCACACTTCAAAAACCTTGCAGCACAGTGGTTGAGAATCACTGCAGTAGAAGAAGCAATCAGTGCCACCTGAAAATTTCGTAAAACTAGCCAAAATTTAATATATTATTACTGACATGAAAACAAAAATTAATTTCTAAGTTCAGCTATTCTTATAGACCTGGGGAAATCTGTGGTCTTTTATGGCTTCTAGCGCATCCTGATAAAATATAAAATAGTCAAATTTGTGGCAGCAAAATTAAATTTATTTTTTATGAAAATATATTTTTGGATATCTTCCTCAGTAGACATGTAAGTATAGTTTATATGCATTATTGGTGCATGTTTGCCAAATGCCACTTATGTGTACATTATGCATCCATTTTGAGTTCATTCTGAAATAGGAACTGGCCTTCTGACTAAAAACGTCTCCATATTTGTTATAGATAGTGTTACGGTAAGTGTAGTTATTATTAAATAAAAATTAAAAAGTTCTAAGTTAGTCCAACAATAGTTAATTAAATACTGAATCTAGCAAGTTGTATGTTCTTGAGAACAAAGCAATTAAAACACACTGCATTTTTATACACTTGTTTTTTATTTCTTCTGTCACTACATATACATTTTGGTCTTTCAGCATATATTTGAAACATATAATACCTATGTTGGAGAAGAAGCAGTTCTGAATATGAGTTATAACATTTTTTATACATTAATAAAACTTACCGGTAACATCTACAAAACAAAATTCTGACCAATACAATATGTTTTAAATAAGTTTTACTCTGTATATATAACTTACAAAATTATGTATTAATGTATATAAAATATTAATATTACAAAATTCATTTGTCTTATTATATTGTATTAGAACAAATATGTTATATTTTGTAAATTTAAGAATAAGAGCTTGATTATTCTTTTCTAAATAAATTTTAAAAAATAATAATAGCATGATGAATTTGAATTAGATACTTATTATACATACAGAATTTATAGTTGATGATAAATAGTTCTCAAATTTAATTCTTAAAATAATAATCTTTTGAGAAGTTAAAGCATGTTTGATTATTCATAAATATTTTTATAAACTACATGTGACTCCACTTCAGTAAAAATTAAATCCTGTAGATTCTAAAATACATTTAATTTTCTTTAAGAAGTTTTAAAAATTCTTAATTGTGTTATTTTTTAGCTATATTAAAATTGTTGAATTAGTAGATTAGAAAAAGAGTTTATGAAATTTTAAAATAGCATACTTTCATATTCATCATTAAACTTTTTAAATTTAAAATTAATTTTTATTTACCTGATCTTGCCAAGATGTAAGTCATAATAATTATTAAATAAAATATGTATTCTGATGGTAATATGTGTGTTGTATATCAGTATACAGGGTGTATCAGAATGACGTTTTAAAAATTTGGGGGATTGTAGAGGATGAAATTTTGAACATTTTGATATAAGGAATCCATAACTGGAAATGTGATATAAAGTTTCTACAGCAGTAGGAAGTGCTTGACCGCCCTTCACTTTGGTAGCTACCCTTCTGTCCATTGACGTCATGTTATTGTTCTTGACTTCTTCCTCTGAGGTTATGTAAAGTCACTTGTGTACGCAACACCTGTAGGAACAGTTTATGAGTTTACGGAGGGAATCTTTACAGCATTTAATAACATCAGAAGGAAGCGTGGCCTCTTACAGAGAGTTGGACAAAACATGGTTAGTCGTTGCACGTTATGTAACGAAGTTGGTGGTCGTCACATTGAACATTTACTCTAAAGTAGTGCAGCCACTGATTCCTTGTACAGTTTGATTGTACTCTAATGTTTTGTCAATAAAACTTGTCATAAATACTGTATTTTGCTGTTTCATTCAGCATACTGACTGCAAAGTGCTGTAGAAACTTTATACAGTGGTACATCAGGATATGAAATTAATCCATTCCGAAACTGAGATCGTATCATGAAAATGTCATAAGGTGAATCATTTTTTCCCATACGATTACATGTAAAACCAAATAATTTGTTCCAACACGAAAAACACACTCAAATTAAAACTAAGTAGTACATTGAAAAAAAATTATACTGAACAGCCATCCTTTAAATTCTTAGTTGTAGAAATAGGAGAAGATATCACACCCTGTTTGGAACAGCGTTGTTTAATTTTGGTTAATCATCAATCGACGAGTGATGTACCACTTTTAATGACTGCCTTCGAGAATAAGACTGGAGTTCTAGAAGGTGTATTGTGGATCATGGATCATTTGTTTCGATACACCAATTTTGGTCTTGTCTCATCAACTCGTGGAGATTTTTTTATAACTCAGGTAATTGATTAACATTCATTTTCCTCCATTTATTTTAAGTTCTTAATGATGATGCAAGAAATTTCTACAGAATTAATTTTTTATTATTGTCAGTATTATTATTAGTTTTATATGAAGACATTTTTTATATTGTTAATTCTCTAATTATTGAAAATTATCAATAGTTATGATATATATAGCTTTAATAGTAAATTTATGTAGGTATTAATAAAATAATTGAAATCATTATTATTTTTGGATTAATCTAGGATATTTTGTAAATTTGCATAATTTATATCAGTGTTAAAAACCACACAGAACAGTATGAGAATAATACAGTATAAATTAATTTTATTGTGTCTTTATTTATTTATTCTAAAATTAAATTTTTTACTAGGGTAAAAATGTACGCAGTAGTCAATTAAAATCTTTAGAAGATCATCTTTTCGATGTTTATATGCCTCGTACAAGACAGTGGTTAGTGCTGTTTCCAGAAGGTGGATTCCTGAGAAAAAGAAGAGAAACAAGTCAAAAGTATACATAATTTTATTGAAATTTTATAGTTAAATTGTATAAATAGATGATATATTTTGATATTTATTTTTTATTTCCTTTAACAGGTATGCTAAGAAAAACAATTATCCCTTTTTGCAGCATGTAACACTGCCTCGAGTAGGAGCTATGTATACCATTATAAATTCACTCCGTCCTGGGAAAGTGGAAGAGAATTTAAAACAAAGAAGGAACTCAGATATACTTAGTACATATANGATATAATAATATACTACACTAATGATGGATTTTTTCATACTTTTCGGTTATCTGACTTTTCAATTATCCGACCAACCCCAGTCCCCAATTGAGTCGGATAATCGAAGCTCTACTGTATTTTGAAATGAATAGTATGATAGATATTGCAAAATATAAACAATATTTATTTAAATATAAAAATAAAATAAAATTATACATTTTATAAATAGTTTACTATTATAATATGTTGTCAGCAATGTTTATCTGGAAAATAATACATAAGAATCTACAAATTTAAAATATGGAAAAAATATTGTTCTTAACGGAGCATAAAACAAAAAATTCTTTGGTTTTTCACAATTTTCATTCCTGAAGATGGATGTGAATGCTTGAATTTGGGGGGATTTTATGCTCTATTAAAGCAAATATTTTTAATGCACTAAGAATATTGTGCAGCTTAAAATATAAATATTAAGTGTTTTATTAAAATGCCTCATTACATAATTAAAAACTAAAGAATTATTTTTTTAAACACTGAAAGTTTCATTTGGATAATCTTCAAAATAATAAATTTCAAAATTGTCTTTAAAAAATGCTGTTTAGTTGTTTTTACAATGTTTCCATGTTGTACTAAACTGGAAGTAAGAGTTAATGCAACAAAAATAGATGAATCTGGAGACAAGCATCGAATTCAAACTATATTTTAAATGGTTTAGATTAGAATTAAAATATTTAATATACAAGATTTTTAAAATCAGATCTGAAAGAAATCTATAAAAGTTTGAAAAATTATATTTGCAGAATTCAATATCTTTTAGAATATGATTTGTTGAAATTTTATTTTAAAGTATTAAATAATTATTTAAATGTAATATTGTTATATTAATGAATAATACATTATCATTTAATACTTATGATATTACATATTTGTACACAACAAAGCATTTTCTATAATTGCTTAATAGTAAGTTATAACTGGATAAATTTAACTTTCTATAATTTTAGTATTTAAGTACATCTTTAATATGTGAAACTATGTAAAATAATTTTGTTCATTTATTTATTTACTTTTATTGTAGAATGAACATACGGTGACAATTATAATGGATACAGGCACTGCTGTAACTGCACAACAAAATACTTCTTCAGGTAAGAAAATTGAATTTATAATCATTTTAAAATGCATTAAAACACATTTACTTGTTTGTTTCTCTTGCTAGATTTTAAAGATTCCAAAATTTCAATGTAAAAATATTATATAAGAATTTGAAAAATTTAATAACTTTATAGTAATTATCTTATGCATGTGAAGCCATTTCAAAAATGAGTCTTTGTTAAATGTGTAATATTCAAACAGGACAAAGCAGAAATATTAATGAAAATTCAAATATAAATAAAATCTGAGAATCAATCTAGTATATTAAATACACTAGATTGATACTTACATTACATTAGATTTTGTTAATAATGTATCTGTGTGAATATTTAAACTCAGACGAAAAATTTGTAACAGAACACACAATAAATTGGTTGAAAATGAAAAATAATTTCCAATTTTGAACATTGGTCAAAAGCAGCAAAATGCCATTTGAAAAAACACTGGAATTGGTTTTAACGTATAGTTAATCATGAGTGGTAACAGTTTAAATAAAATTAAATAGATTTATATTATAACTTAATTATTCAAGTGATAATATGAATCTGTAATAATGGCTATAATTAATACTGCTACTCATTCATAAGTCTGAGGTTAAAGTAGTAAAATTATATTGAATGCAAATGTTAAAATAGAAAAGAAATGCTCATGTAATATAATAGAAGAGAAATATGAAATCATATTAAAACTATAAGAGAATATAATAGAATAGAAATATGAAAATATAATAGAAGAGAAATATGAAATCATATTAAAACTATAAGGAGTTGCTTTATTCAAAGATAAAACCATTTGAACTGAGAATGTTTGAGAACACAGTTTTCTATTTTGCCAATCAATATAAATCTTAAACTATCTAATCAATTGACAATCATCTTATTCCAATCGATGAGTATAGTTTCATAAAGTACTTCTCTTACTGATAAATTGTGCTTAAGAATATCTGTACATATAACGAGCAATTATTTATTGTGATATGGTCACAATACCAGGCTGCAATTTTTAATAATATTTTTAATTTATTTAATTTAAAATATAGCTTTTAGTTTTAGTAGTGTCTTGCCCCTGTATATCACACTTTTTCTGTTAACAATAGAGTCATGCAGTCATCTATCTAACTCTGGAGAAAATTTATGAATTGAAGTAATGTGACTTTCAGTACAAACTGGAAGTTTGTATATAGTCAGTCGGAGCTTTCCATATCTGATCTCAACTTTCATCTGTCTAATTCTGTTCTCAAGATTAAGGAAGGACAGAAAGATGGCTACTAGTAGAAATTAATAGGTCTGCAGTTTGAAAATTGTAGCCTAATTTCTACTTATTTTATATAAGAACAAAATTAAAAAATTTTTTAGTAATTACATTTTTATTTCAGCAACTTTGCTTGTAGTTTACAAACTGAATTATTAGTCTATTATATTCTCAATATATCAATCCATTTCTAAAAGAAATTTTGGTTTGTGTGTATTCAAATGATTGAAAATGTTATAAATTAATTTGAGATGATACAAATGGAATTGCCAGTGTGAAATGAAATAACTTGCAGATATGTGTACAGCGTGTTGCACAATGTCCACCACAAATTGATATTTTCTCTTTAAAAAATTTGCAAATGGTCATCTGAAAAATTTACATTGTTTCACATTCAGGAATGTAACAATAATACATCAAAATAATTTGTAGAAATTTTAAAAAATTAATTATTTTATTGATTTTTAGGTGTTGCAAACAGATAGATTTAAATGATATATTTTCCATTGTAGAGCACATGTATGTCTCATTTATGCAAATTTGCAATTTTTTGGTACTTGTATCTTTGATGTCACTGAAGATTAATTTGCAATTTCATTTGTTACTTGTGGCAAGTTATAATTTTGTGAACATAAAAGGTCAAATAGACAAATTGTGAAAATTTTGAAACAATCGTGTAACGTTGTAAACAATTTTATATGATTAAAAGATTTTTATGGTGTTAATAATATATATATATATATATACTAGCTGTAAGGACCCACTTTGCTGGGTTTTTATTTTTATGTAATATAGTTTTTTTATATATATATAAAAGACTGTTTTTCTAAGTAATCTAGGATCTAGCTGCAAGGACCTGCTTCGCTGGACAAAAAGTAATGATAGTGAAGATTAAGATAATTACATTATAGCTAATCTTACTCGTTTTCACAAAATGCAAGAATTAGGTCCCCCGTTTCCAGACTAATTAGAGAATTTTTACGTTTAGTCAAACGAACTATTTTCAACGTTTCTGGAACGTTTACAATCGTTCTATAATCGAACCAATATTCGAA